TAATTCTCAAAGATACTTGCAAACCACATACAGACACACATCAAAAAGATCATCCACCATGATCAAGTAGGCTTTATTCCAGAGATGCATGGATGGTTCAATATGCATAAGTCAGTAAACGTCATAAATCATATAAATGTGCTCAAAGACAAGAACCACATGGTCATGTTAATAGATGCAGAGAAGGCCTTTGACAAAGTTCAACATGGATTTATGTTCAAAGTCCTAGAGGGAATTAGACTGGAGGGAACATACCTCAACATAATTAAAGCTATATACAGCAAACCCACAGCCAACATTATTCTAAATGGAGAAAAACTGGAAGCATTTCCATTGAAATCAGGAACCAGACAAGGCTGTCCACTATCTCCACATTAACACTTTCAGTAAAGTGGCAGGGTACAAAATTAACCTACAAAAGTCTATAGCTTTTCTATATACCAATAACAAGCAGTCAGAGAAAGAGTACATGGAAACACTGCCCTTCACAATAACTGCAAAAAAAATCTCAGAATAAACCTGACCAAAGACATTAAAGTCCTCTACAAAGAAATTTTAATTCCTTAAAGGAAGAGATTGAGGAAGACATCAGAAGATGGAAAGACCTCCTATGCTCATGGATTGGAAGAATTAATATTGTGAAAGTGACCACCCTATCAAAAGCCATTTGTAGATTCACTGCAATGCCAATCAAAATCCCCATGACATTTTTCACAGAATTGGAAAAAACATCCTAAGATTCATATGGAAGCAGAAAAGACCTCAGATAGCCAAAGCAACCCTGAGTACTAAGAGCAAAGCTGGGGGGATTACTATACCAAATTTTAAACTGTGTTACAGAGCTGTGGTCATAAAAACAACATTGTGCTGGCACAATATTAGATCCATAGATCAGCGGAACAAAGTTTAAGACCCAAATATGAGTACATGCAATTTCAGCCACCTGGTATTTGTCAATGGAGCCAAGAACATTCACTGGGGGAAAGACAGCATGTTCAGCAAATGGTGCTGGAAAAACTGGATCTCCACCTGTAGAAGAATGAAACTAAACCCCTATCATTCACCTTGCACAAAAGCCAACTCCAAATGGATCAAAGGCCTCAATGTAAAGCCTGAAACTCCGAACCTGTTAGAAGAAAACATTGGAAATAACCTACAAGGTAAAGGTGTAGGAAAGGATTTTCTAAACCGGACATCGATTGCTCAGGAAATAAGGTCAAGAATCAACAGATGGGACCTCATTAAACTAAAAAGCTTCTGGAAATCAAAAGAAGCAACCAAGGAAGTGAAAGGAAAACCCCCAGCCTCTATAATAAAATTTTAAATCCTTAAAGAAATAGATTGTAGAAGACATCAGAAGATGGAAGGACCTCCCATGCTCATGGATTGTAAGAATTAATATTGTGAAAATGACCATCCTACCAAAAGCAATATATAGATTCAATGCAATCCCGATCAAAATCCTTGTGACATACTTCACGGAATTAGAAAAACGCATCCTTAAATTCATATGGAGGCACAAAAGACCCTGGATAGCCAAAGCAACCCTGAGCACAAAGAGCAATGCTGGGGGAGTGGGAGGTGTAGGAAAGGATTTTTGAAACTGAACATCAATTGCTCAGGAAACAAGCTCAAGAATAAACAAATGGAACCTCATTAAATTAAAAAGCTTCTGTACATCAAAGGAGGAAACCAGGGAAGTGAACAGAAAACCCACAGATTGGGAGAAAATCTTCACCAGCGACACATCCGACAGAGGTTTAATGTCCAGAATATATAATGAACTCAAAAAACAGAGAATCAAGAAGTAACTCAATTAAAAGATGGGCAAAGGAACTGAACAGAGAGTTCTCAAAAGAAGAATTAAAGATGGCTATGAAGCATCTTAAAAAGTTTTCATCATCACTAGTAAATAGGGAAATGCAAATTCAAATCACTTTACGATTTCACCTTACCCCAGTCAGCCTGGCTAAGATCAAGAGAACAAATGATACCAAATGTTGGAGGGGATGTGGGGAAAGGGGAACACTCATCCACTGCTGGTGGGACTGCAAGCTTGTTCAACCCCTATGGAAAGCAGTGTGGAGAACTCTTAAAAAACTACAAATGGCAGGGCGTGGTGGCGCACACCTTTAATCCCAGCACTCAGGAGGCAAAGGTAGGTGGGTCTCTGTGAGTTCAAGGCTACCCTGGTCTACATAGTGAGTTCCAGGACAGCTGGGGCTACAGGGAGCCCTTGTCTCAAAAAGACCAAAAAATAAATAAAAACCCTACAAATGAACCTACCATTTGACTCATTTATACCACTCCTTGGCATATATCCAAAGAACTCATCCTATTGCAGAGACACTTGTACTACATGTTTGTTGCTGCTCTTTTCACAATAGCTAAGAGATGGAAGCAACCTAAGTGTCCCTCAATTGATGAGTCGATAATGAAAATGTTGTTCATTTATATGATGAGTTTTACTCAGCAGTAAAGTAAGATGAAATCATGAAATTTGCAGTGAAATGGATGGAATAGAAACTGTTATACTAAGTGAACACAGACTCAGAAAAACAAACAACATGTGTTCTCCCTCATATGTGGATCCTAGCATTAAATCCCTATATGTGAGTATGTATCCAAACATAACTTCAGGAACTAGGATAATGAAAAGGAACCAGGGAAGTAAAAGAAAAGAAAGAATCTGAAAGAGAAGAACAGTAGAAAGTAGGTGTTAACAAGGGAGATATGGATAAAAATGGGGTTATTTTAAGGGGGGCCTGGAGGGAAGATTATACAAGGAACCTAGGGGATAAAGGGAAAGAAGGATCTCAAGAGAGGTGAGACCATAGGAGAAGGGTATTATTAAGGGAAAAATGGGAAAAACGGGGGCACCTTAAATGGGGAAACCATGGTGGAAGGGTTAGACAACGTGAGAGATAAACAATGCCTAGCTAGTTTTAGAAAACCAGAGGGAACCATATTAGGCCAACAACCTACTCACAGATTATACATACAACCAGATCAAAGAACATAATACATGTCTAGGCAAGGTTTATCTGAGAGCATTTGGTCTTTGCCCAAGCTCTATCTACTTGGCATATGGTAATTAAAAGTACTAGACTGGTGGAACTAACATTCTTGGATGTTTAACAGCCATAGCTATGAGGCCTATACTAATGTGGTCAGATGGACTTAAAGGACAGGTTTTGCTCCTTGCCCTCCTAGGTCAACTAGTTCAGGGGACTATGAGCATCTCTCAAAATGTCCTGTAATTGTTGTGGGTCACCTGTCCTCTTGATCAAGGAGGCCAAGGAAACCCCACGAGATGGACTCGAACCAGTGTCCAGTGTACAAAGAGGACGGTCAACACAGAGGAATCATTTCCTTAATGCTTCCAAGCAAAGCCAGCCATGGTAGAGCAGGACCTTTGACTTATCTTCACATAGACGAAACTGGTAAAAGCAAGGAGCCAGGAGCTCCTCCCAAGCCCACGTTACCCCTGAGGAACAGATCCTCAAACTACCTTAAGTGTGAAAATAAATTGGCTTATCTGGGCCTTCTGGGTCTTAAACACCCAGAAGGAAAGTATAACCAAAGATTAATGGGGTCAATAAAATTTTTTAAGACTCTATTTGTATAGCTAAAGGCTACATAACCAGAAACAGTGCCAGACAGGAGATACCTTCCCTTGAGTTATTGGCCAGGATGACCCAAAAGACTTCCAGACAGTAACCCAGCATAGAACTGGGAAAATGAACAGCAGACCCCTTCAGAATCTTATCTGAAGGAATATTGACAATCGATTGCTGCTAGATGAGGAAGAGCTGATCTTCCTAAAACAAGGATCTCTAGATAGGCTGGCTAGATTCAACAGATGGACAAGCACTGGGGAATGGCTGAGGGTGCCAACAACACAGTGGACAGTAACAGATGACAGAGTATGTGGGCTCCAGTGTGTGGGAGGGGGGAGGCTATGGGAGGGTGCCATTTGTGAAGTGGATATATAGATGAATAAGATTGTGTGGGATGTTCTGTATGATATACACACAAAAAGTCAACAAATTTTAAAAAAGACATATTTGAGGAGGAAGTATAAAAATTTACTTCATATTAAGTAGTAGAGGTGATAAACATTACCAGTGAAATCTACCTGATGACTTTATATTCATACTCAGGTACTAAGGAAATAAATGTATCTCTGTTTGAGAGCTAGGGAGTACCATTTGGATGAGTGTGGTTCTCTTGGTTGGACACCATCCAGAAAGGTGCTTCCATTCATCACCTGCTTCAGGGCAGTCTGGTATTCCTCCATTTGATTCTTCCTCACCTACTGGGAATTTATTTCTGAGGAGACCTGAGGACGAGTTCCACATTAGTTCACTTCGGAGCTCCAAAGCCTCTTTCTGAAAACTTGTTCCACTTTATACGTTGCCTTGGTTCAATTCTCACCTCTGACGCTAAGGCAATTGACTTGAAGCTTTACTTTTTACTTACTTTAATGTTCCCATTAGGGAACATCTCACATAACTTGTCTCCAAATTGCTGTGATCTTAACAGACTACATTCCTCCCTCTCTTGGTGCGGGCTGTTATGAGAAAATAAGTCCCGCTCTAATTTCCCAGAGCCTTCAGCAGTTTGTCTAGGTCTTTGCCTGACTGGTCCAGGCACCAGCCCGACTTCGGGACTACATTTCCCAGAAGCCTTCCAAGAGCCGTTCTGTCGGGCGGGACTTCCTGCGTCTTTCACAGCTTAAGCTCCAGGACAGAACCATAGGACCCGCCCCCCTCCGGAGAGCTGACAGGGCTCGGAGTTGAGGTGCGCCGGAAGCCGTGGGAGGGGGAGACTCCATCACCACTGCAGAAGGGTTGGGCGGGGTCGATGCGGGAGACTCGGGCCTCCGAGGCTTAGTGGACTGTGGTACCCGGTCTCCCTGGTCTGGTGCGACACTCAGGCAAGTAGTGGCTGGTGCTGCGGAGGTGGACCCAGTGCAGGTGGGTCCTGCGTTCCCAGACTCACTAGTCCCCACCCTCACCTTCCAATCACAGGTATGCCAGTGACCTGCATCTTGGATGCAACCGGTATGTTGGGGTGCGGGGCAGTGTGATGGAGAAATAAACGACAGGAGCAAAGGCTTGGCGGGTGCAGGGAGTAGTCGGAAAATGCGCCGGTTTTTGTTTGTATCTGTAGGCAGCAGAGATTGTGTGTACCAGAGACGCCTGCCCCATAGGATGAATGGCACCTTTAGGAGCCAGGGAGCGTTTTGACTGGTGGAGAGAGATGATCTTAAAAGGACTGAGAACGTATTCCAGTGTTATTCAAGAAAACAAGACTAAAATGAAGTTGGAACGGTGAGGATGGAAGCCAGGAGGCTGTTGCAGCTGACTCTGAGACTGTTGTAATGACTGGACAGAATCAGGAGGAGCAGAGAGTGAAGTCATTAGATTTTGCGTAGCAGTTTGAAGTTAGAATCGTCAAGGCTTCCTGTATGGTTGTGAAAGTAAAGAGTGAAGGATTGTCAAGTATTTCCTTTTTTCCATATCACAAAGATCTGAAAGAATGAGAGTGGTTAAGTCAGTGATGGTAGGATCAAGAATTGGGTTTTGGACATGGTGAGTCCAAGGTGTCACACAGTATAGTTAACAGATGGGCTGGTAAGGTACTCAGGTCAGGTCAGGAGTTCTGAGGAAGAAGGACGTTCTGAAGACCTCAAACACAGGGATTAGACTAAGAGAGAGAATTATTGCAGGTGGTAATTGTTGTGATCTTTGATGTGAGAAATCGGAAGCCTGAGTCCCGTCAAGTTTTCAGTTTCACTCAGGATCATGTGACCTAGCCCAAGAATGAATTTTGGGTATTAACCCCTGCTTGAGGAGGTTCAGAAATTCAGGTACTGTGATAAATGCTTTCTGTGCTTTGTACTTCCTGCCTTCCTAGTAAGTGAGTTTTCCTAGGTTTCTGGCCTGCACTGCGGTATCTTTTTCTCCAGGACTTGGTCTTTTCTTCCCCTTTCTGGGAAGCAGCCACTGCTGTTTTCTGATTCCCTCACACAGGTTTTCTGGGCGCCAGGTGAGGTTATAGATTTATTCCTAAATTCCCTATGTTCCCTAATTCTCACTGCCCAGAGGCTTGCCAGGAAGGGCTTGGGCATCAGGGGTCTAAAGCTCAGCCCTATAGAGCCCACTGTTTGTTTTCTCCTTAATGGGATGACTCTGTCCACAGCCCATCGTTTCTAGGCTCCAAGTTCAGTCACCTTTCTCTGACATTTTCTTAGCTCAGAAGTGTATATCATGAATTTCAAGTCATCATGGTCATTATGGGACCCACTGGATTGTCCTTGCAAAGCGGTCGTTTTTTCCTATTTTTCTTCTGGTCTGGCATAGGCTTTTGCACTCACCTGTCCTTTCCCCACTGACTTATGTTTCCCAGATTCTTTACTGTTGCTGAAGTGTGTGGCAAGGGAGAAAACGCTGGGCACCTGACTGAGAGGGCATGACTCTCGCCGTGGCAGAACGGGCTTGGATCAGCTCTGGTGAGTGAGAGCTGGAGAAGGGAATGGCTTTCCAGACTTTTTTCAGACTATTCCAGAAACTTGATTTGTGCCCATTAGTGTTTGATGTCAAAGCCAGAGATCTATCTTTTCTTCTCCATCCTGGATACTTTTGTCATTTCTGTTCTGCGTTATTTCTGACCTAGGGCCCTCCTCCCTGACTCTCTAATACAGGGGTCTACTGTTCCCTCTGCAGTGTTCTCTAGTTGTGAACTGAATTAATTTAAAGTCATCAGATGCATACATATCCTTGAACACTAGGAACATGAGCTATTCCTGGGCCTCGACATACATTACACATTTGTTATTAGCTAAACCTTTCTAAAAGTCATTTGTAGGGGATTAATTTGGAGACTCTGCCTACCTTTTCTTCCTGTACTACACCTCATCCTTTGTCTGTGATGAGGCCTTCCCTAATCTATGACCCTTGGATGCCAGCATTATATAAAAAACTTCAAATTGGGGCTGGAGAGAGGGTTCAGCGGTTAAGAGCACTGACTGCTCTTGCAGAGGACTCAGGTTCGATTCCCAGCACCCACATGGCGGCTACAAACCGTCCTTAACTCCAGTTCCAGGGGAATCCGAAGCCCTCTTCTGACCTCGGTGGCATTGCACGACACAGGTGCACTCACATACACACAGGCAATACACTCGTACACGTAAAATAAAAACAATAAAATTTTTTTAAAAAACTTTCAAATCGATCCTTACTCTCTCCTGCTAACATTAGTTAGCCTAACCCCATGAATTTAATCTTGCGTATACTAGATACAGATTTGTGATGGGGTCGTTCCTTTCCACCAGAGTTAGACTGTACGTTCTCAGTGTTTTTTTCATTTTCTTTTTTCTTGCTTTCAGGTTATTGGTGTGCAGTGAAGGATGAAGAGGTACCTTCTGAACAGAGCATTTCTGTAGGAGTGGCACATGTTAGTACTCTCAAGGAAGGTTCCTCCACACAGACAAGTCACTCTTGTGACGTATGTGGCCCCGTCTTGGAAGATATTTTACATGTGGATGAACACCAGGGAACATACCATGGACTTAAAACTTACTCTTGTAGGACATGTGGGAGACAATTCCAGTTCAGTAAAAACTTTCACCAGAACTTAAAGCATCTTAATGTAGAGAAATCTTCACAAAAAGATGAAGGTAAGGTCTCGTTAGTTAAGAATTTCAAAGTTTGTGCAGAACCCCAGTCATCAGAGAAGCCCTTTGCATGTGAGGCAGAACAGAAGAACTTCCAGGATAGTTTGATTGGTCAGCAACAAAAGATCACCCACAGCAAGAAGAAAGCAAAGAGCACTGAGATTGGGGTGGGTTTTCACGTTGGACAAATGCATTACAAGTGCAGTGAATGTGGGAAAGGTTTCAGCCGAAAAGATACACTTGTTCAGCACCAGAGAATTCATAGTGGAGAAAAGCCTTATGAGTGCAGTGAATGTGGGAAAGCCTTCAGCCGCAAAGCCACACTTATCCAGCACCAGAGGATCCATACTGGTGAAAGGCCTTATGAATGTAGTGAATGTGGAAAAGCTTTTAGTCGAAAAGACAACCTTAGTCAACATAAGAGAATCCACACCGGAGAAATGCCTTATAAGTGCAACGAATGTGGGAGATACTTTAGCCATCACTCCAACCTAATAGTACACCAGAGAGTTCACAATGGATCAAGGCCTTATAAGTGCAATGATTGTGGGAAAGTCTTCAGACACAAGTCAACACTTGTTCAACATGAAAGTATCCACACTGGAGAAAATCCTTATGACTGCAGTGATTGTGGGAAATCCTTTGGTCACAAATATACCCTCATTAAACATCAGAGAATTCACACTGAGACAAAGCCTTTTGAGTGCACCGAATGTGGGAAATTCTTTAGTAGAAGCTCTGACTTCATTGCACACCAGAGGGTTCACACTGGTGAAAGGCCTTTTGTGTGCAGCAAGTGTGGAAAAGACTTCATCAGAACCTCCCACCTTGTTCGGCACCAGAGGGTTCACACTGGAGAAAGGCCATATGAGTGCGGTGAATGTGGAAAAGCCTACAGCTTAAGCTCCCACCTTAATCGGCACCAGAAAATTCATGCTGCGAGAAGACTTTAGGAGTGCTTTGAACAGAATGGTATTCAGTCAGGTGTTGAATCTCATACTATATAAACATTTATGTTGGGAGATGCCTTATGCGAGCCGGATATGTGGGAAGCTTTCAAGAGCTGTGTTGCACTTTCTGACCTGTTCAGGTAATTTACCATGGTTCTGACTCTGTCAATAACTCTGGTTGAAGTAGTCTGAACTGCAGCTTGCTTAACCCAACATCCCCTGGGAAGACAGGACTGTCGTCTCTGCCCAATCCCTATAGTGAATTATGAGACACTGACATAGCTAAGCATCCCCATTCTCTCATATCTGACTGGTTTAGGTGTGGACATGACCTACTTTTAGCCAAGAGGTCTGTGTTATAGTCTCTGCATGGCTTGCAGAGATGATTTACTTATGAATGTTGTTATATTAAATGTTTTATCTAAGATAGTGTTGTTGTGTGATCCAAACCACCCTCGAACTTCTCTTTCTTCAGCCTCCTTAGTAGCCGGAGTTTAGGCATCTGACACTATTCCCAGCTCTTAATGAGCTTTGAAATGGGCTTTCGACTTTATCATCGAGCCAGAGCAAATACTTGCCTCATGTTAACTCTGGTTTCTGATAAAGGCATTATAATTTAAGCCATATTTAATCTTGGGAGAGGGGTTGCAGTCTAGAGTGAATTGAAAACAGAGTTTGATTCTGTCAAACTAGAGATACACAGTCTGTGTTTCAAATGGGGCAGTGGGTTTGTGGAGAACAAATTCTCAGTCCAGTTTTAGTATTACCTTCTATTGTTGAAAAAAAGCTTCACCAGTAATGCTTTAAATATTTTGGGGTCTGACGACTGGATTGCAGAATTACTTTAAGTTCTGTATATGACTTTGAGGAAGATACTACTTTTGGGACAACCTGCCATGGGTTTGGGAGCAGTATGATTTGAGTATCTTGCTTCCAGCACATGCACTATATATCCTAGCCCGATTGAGGGGAAGCTGTTCCAATCTCCATGACCAGAATGTGGTATACAGGTCACTAGCTATGTAACTCAAAGCTCCACAAGACCAAAAGAAACAGTGGAATTACAGGGAGACTTCAGTATACTAGAGAGGAAAGTTCCTGTGATAAGAACATCGTCAAATATTGTAGTCACTGTGACTATGTGAGACCAGAAGATTTATAGAATTCCTTAGCCCTTCCGGTGCTGTGTAACTTAGGACCAACAGCAGCAGACTGTTTTTCCTAGATTTCTATGCCTTCCTGAGGGCTTCACCTAAAGTCTTTGCTGTGTAGACAGTAATTCTGAGAAGAGCATAATATGATCCAAAGACATAGCTTTGGTTAGTAGACAGAATTCCTAGTGACTGTTGGAAATGGCCTTGATTGCTTACCAGATTTTTCCCTACTGAGGAAGATGATTTCCTAAAGCATTTGGAGTAAGGTGGTAGAATTACTTACTGCTATACACTTGTCTGGCTTTCCAGTAGAAATGTGTGATTTAGGTTTTAAAATGGGCTTAACTCTTAATAGGTTTGTTGAAGTATAATCAAACATACTATATATGATATATAATTAAAGCGTATAAGTTGATATATGTGTATTTACTGAAAAACTACATCAGCAGGGATGTTGAACATACCCTAGAGCTCCGAAACTATCTTGTTCACCTTCATGACTCTTCTTAGTGGTCTTCATATACTTTCACTGAATTCTTAGGCAGCCACTGATTCATTTTTACTGTCCATAAATATATCTTCAGTGGGCTGCAGAGATGGCTCAGTGGTTAACAGCACTGGCTGCTCTTTCAGAGGACCTGAGTTCAACTCCCAGCACCCACAGAGCAGCTAACAACCATTTGTAGCTCCAGTGCCAGGGAATCTGATGCCCTTTTCTGAACTCCATGGGTACTGCATGACATCGGTGCACTTACATACATGCAGCCAATACACTCATACACATAAAATAAAAAATATTCTAAATAAATATATCTTCAAGAGTTTTATGTCAATATAGGGGGTTTTTGTTTGCTATTAGGCTGCATAATTGACATCTTATTTGTGTTGTATATGTGGACAGCTCATTTATTATTGAATATTAGTAGTAGTATGGGTTTACTACAGTCGATTTATCATAACTGGTATTTGCCTCCCACCTCAGCTTCTAAATATTAACAGAAAAGCTGTTGCAGATACTCATGGATGAGCTTTTATATGAATGTTTAGCTGAGAACATTGTAACAAAAATACTGAAGGTATGACCTTGAATCTTTCTGGTGATTTTAGTAAATGTCCTGGAGAAGAGGAAAATACAGAGAACTGTGAAAAGACTTAAGATTTGATTTGGGAAATTCTCAACCCGTCTTAATTGCAGAAGGCATGGAAATTAAGAGATTTTTTTTTTCTCATGAAAGCATGTTTTAGAGAAGTAGCCAAGAATTTGTCAACACAGAATTTTTTTTCAATATTTTTAAAAAATTATTGAACTTTTGTACATTTCATACCACAGTTCTTAATCAATTTAGAACCCCCCCCATCCATGTTCCCCAACTCCCCACAGGATCTTGTGTATTCCACTATACACGTTAAGTCCTATCCAGTCAAGTATTTGCACCCAGATGTCCTTTGGTACAAATTCATCCACTGGAGTCTACTCAGCCTATCTGGAGATTATAACTAACCTCAGGCAACATCTTCCATGCAGCTCTTAGAAAAAGATTCCTACAAAGTAGTGAAAGTGCAGGTCCTCTAGAATTGGCATCCCTGCCCTAATCTTCCACGGTTCTCTTCTGTGGAGCATTCAAAAAGAGGAAACATGGTCCAAAGTTGACAGGTGAGAATAGATTTTCCTGGTGGTGATGTCATACTGATGTCTGTGTATGACTTCAGGGTGTGCAGGTTTGGCATGAAGAAGACTGTATGAGTGAAGGGCACATAGATACATGTTATAAGTGTAACTTCGTTAGGACCAGCTCTAGGGACATTTTACATGGTTACCTAAAATCTAGAGGAAACCCACTCAGCTGAGGCCCTGATCTTTCCAGTGGGAAGAAAGGATATTTGCATGTTGGGACATTTGCATTCTCTGATGTCAGCTTTTCATCTGTAGGGAAATTACCCTTATTTCATACTATCAGCTCCATTCCTTTGGTCTGTATTTACTTTGCTTAGTGATTCTCAAGAAAATTTTCCACATCAGTTCTGCTGATGGTCATTTTTCCTGATATGTCGTTTTTGCACTGAGGTATCAACCTAACAAGTCCTTGACTCATACAGCACTTCAGGTCCTCCAGATAGCCATCTTGTCTCCTGCTACGTGTACATAACTGTTTTGCTGGAGGCTACATGTTGATGTGGATGGGAAAATAACACCAACAATACACTGGGAAAATCACTGGACACAGCGGCCCTTGCTGTGGGCTCAAGTGAATGAACAGAAACACGTGTGGAAGAGTGATGAGCCCAATAGCTGCTTCTACGCCAGAGAAGTGCCAAGAGCATGAGCTGACTCCTCAGCAATCATCAGAAGGGTAAAGGACAGGAGGGAGCCGCAGGAGGAGCAACTGTAGACCACCTTGTAGTAGTCAGCTGTGTATTAATTACTTTTCTGTTGTTGTGATAAAATACTATAACCAAAAGTAACTTAAGGAAGAAAGGTTTTCTTTAGCTTATGGTTCCCGAGGAAGAATCTATAATGGTGAGAAAGGTGTGGCATGGGGACAGGTGTAGGAAGCTGGCTGATCACATTTTGTCCATAAACAGCAAATAAAGAGAGAGAACAGGAGGCGGGGCCAGCTATAAACCCTCAAAGCCCACCTCCAGTTACGTACTTCCTCCAACAAGGCTTCACCTCCTGAAGGTTCAATAACCTCCCCCAAAAGCACCATGAACTGGGGAACAAATGTTCAGATACAGGAGCCTATGGGGGACATTTCTCATTCAAACCACCACAAGCAGATAAGACCCACTAGCTGTACTCTTCTAGTTGATAATGCCACACACATCACAAAGAAACACCACCATGCTGATCCACCTGCCCTTTGGGGGCTCTGTCCTTTGAAGGGCTTAGAGACCTCCTTGTTATGCTCCAGGCCTAGATAACTCATCTCCAGCTCTTCTTCCATCCCATCTCGTGTGTCCCTCTTCTAAGACGGCCGTTTGTGTAGAATCAGACCTGACATGCCTTGTAAAGATATATCTTGGGCTAGAAGACAACCACTTAATCAGGAAATGGAACAGCCCCCCCAATCTATGTCCTCAGGTGGAGATAACCAATGTGATCTCACAAAGTCAGGACATGAGCAGAGCGTAAGTGTGGGTGGGCAGTGGGAAGGGCTGGCTCGAGTGACTTTGTCTTGTCTTTCTGCCAAATCTTCAGTCTCTGTGTGCTCCATCTGAGGCTTTGCTATTTCTGAAGCGCCTCCCACAGTGTGTAGGTTGTTTCTATGGTAACTGTAAACAAACCTTTGAGTCACCTGATCACAAGCACTGCAAATAAAATGATAAAAATGACCTCATAATGGTCATATGTTCAGAAATTGAGTCCAGTTTCCTCTAGACTTTGAGAATCTTGACCGAGTGTTTGGATGTGAACCATGGAGCTCTGAGGAGGAGGAGGGTCCAGAAGCCTAAGAACCAGCACTAGCAACTGGGGTTAAAAAAAAAAGGAATCACAGTCTAAAGGACTAGTGTAGAGGAAGCTTGTGTATTCAGGCTGTAGACTTCGGGGGGCGGGGAACTGTGAGCAGGAGGGGCTTCTTTCAAGCAGGTTTTTACATTTAAACTTCCTAAAGGGGAAGGCAGCCTTCACACCATGGTAGCTCACCCAGCTAAGCAGGACTAGAGTTCTCTGGTATGGAAATATGACACTGGTCATGGTAGGCACTGTACAACAAAGGGAATTGAAAAAAATCAACATACTTGGGAGTTTTGAAAGTTCTACCCACTTTGAGCTGTTGTGGCTTACCCGGATGTCTGGGACACTCATGGGAAGATGATACCAGTGGCTCTCTTCTGCCACAGCTGTGAAGATGGAAAAACACAGTCACAGTGGTTGACTAGATGCTTTATCCTAAGAGCTGCTGTAGCCTCTGAGGCACTTTGAAAGATAAAGACTAAAAGTCTCTGTGCTTGAGAATCGAGTATTTGTGTCGCCCTCTGCATTCAGAACAGTGAAGTGTGAAGTGATTCTAAAGAAGAAATAATGGTCAGTGTTCCATCACAGAATGAGACGCGTGGACTGTACCTGTGTGAGATCTGTGGAAGTCACTCTGCCCAATTCTGGTCAAGGATATTTGTCTTCAGAGGCACACAAATCTGTGAAAGAACATGCAGTGTAGTGACAGTGATCAAGCAAGCTGAGATCCAATATTCTCACTGATAAATATTTACTGACAGTTTCAGTATACAATGGCAAATAAGGTTTTTAGAAAATAACTGTATAAGGCTCAAGGGGAGGGCATGGGAACAGGAGGAGCTGACTGCTACTAGCCAACAGAGAAGGCCTGAGCCTAGGAGTGGTGGGAGGGACTAGAGATGCTCCCAAAGCAGGGGGAGGGGCATGGCAGGATTTGGGCAGTTCACCCAGGTGGGCTGCAAACTAGCCAGGTCCCCTAAAGCAGCCTCAGTGGGATGGGTCCAAGGCCCAAGGAGAGAGGATGGGAATAGAGCGTGTGGCTCCCACTAGCCAGTAGCGAAGGCATGAGCCCTGAAGTTACTCAAGATATGTTTGGTCCTGGCAATCATTGCACACTGCACCTTCCCTTCAAGGTCATGATCCCAAATTCAGGAGGGAGAGCCTGCATCCCAGAGCCACAATACCACTGATGATCATACAGAATCAGTTACTATCTCTATAACTGGATCACACACATACTGTAACAGGAATATTTTTTACTCCAGAAACAATTCACATCCTGTTTTGTTCCAGGGTTAGGTGATTTTTACATTTCATTCTAATCTTTATTGTAGGCATGGAAGCAAGATAAGTACACTGAAGAAATAAGACTGAAAAGTTAGTCTCTGTGTTGCTTAAGGCAATGTGAGTATCTGATTTATTACAATCTTAAGCACCATCACGGGTCCTCTTCACTCCCTAGGGATTGCTCACCTACAGACAGCTTCCGTGACACACACCCTTCCCCTCCAAGTAAGTACAATATGTAAGATAAAAATTAAATAAGAAGAATACATTTGTACAGGCTGTGGGTAGGAGGGGCAACTTTTCAGGGAGCAGTGAGCTCTCATTGGGGACGGCACTGCAGACTTCCACCATGGAAGCAGAGAACAAAGGGGCCTGTTAGTCGCTGCGATATCTCTAAAGAACCCCCCACATACACACCATATCTCTAAAGACCCCCCACATGCACACCTTTTTTCCAGTGTACAGTTAACTTTAACGTTGAGGTCCTAAATTGGAACAATGATACTGTCTCTACCTTTTCACAAAAAAAGTTAGCAAGGTGTCATTAATTACTCAAGACCTTGCTTCAGTTGATGGAGGTGGAGATGGGCTTGATGGCATGGAAGTCTAGGGTCAAGGTTCTATGTTTTTATGGGGTCGGGTCATTGTTCATTTGTATATTCAGTGAAGTTTTGGAGCCTGATGCCTGCAGAAGTCAAAATCTGGTCAAGTTTTGATGTTACACTCACAGAACCCTCCTCAGAACTGAAGCCCTTTCTGATCCAGCTCCCTGGACACTCTCTGTGCTCCTGACACCCCAGGAGAGACCTCCACAGAAATACATTCTATCCTGTGCCTCTATGGATACACATGGTCCACTTAAAAGTTTCTTGAAGTTACTGATGGAAAAAAGTGTTTTGTTTGGGGATGACGTCAAGTCCCTTAGGAGACACTCTCATTGCCGCCTCGTGTGACGTGATCATGTGGACCACAGGGGAGGTGAGGTCTCAGCATATCAAGTCACCCTGTCATGTCGACGCCTTCCTACGTGTAGGCATGCTGTTTGTGCCTCTGGCCACTGAGTCATCCAGCACCTGTCATCAGAGGGGTATCCAACTTTCACAGGGGAGTGGCTTTATTTCAGGGCCCCATTCTGTAGAGGACAGGAAGTCGCCTGGAAGCTGGGTGAGTGCCGCTCTCTGAACTGATCCTTGAGGGAGAGGATCATATACAGGGTGAATGCGTGGAGTAGGTGATAGGCTTCTTGAACTCTGGTCTCCCCTTCTTGAGGCGCTCACAAAGGGGATTATGGTGTGTGCTCTGCTAATGCAAAGGCTCTCAGTGGCTGAAATGCTTTCTGTTTTAGTACTGTTTCTCCCTCCCCTTTGCTATGGGAAATCGATTTTGTGAGGTGGTGTAATACTTAGCAGAACTTAGTAAATTAGGAGAACAGTTCCCACAGATCAGAGAGACTTGCTTTTCTGTGCATACCGCCTTCTCCAGCTCTGGGTTCCTGAGAAAGATGGTGGCTTAATTCTCTCTACTGGGAACACCAGTGCCTGGTCAGTCGTACAGTGACAAGATAGTTTTCCTTGTTACAGCACAACACAGTAAGGAGAACTTTATTTTATAATCATGTCTATACAAGCAGACGAGTCAGACACCTATAGATTCAAATTTCAAATGCTTCTAATGAGGTTTCTCTCTTTTCCCTCACAGACAAGGCTCATTACTGACATGTCTGCTGTTTCTATTTCCAAGTAGCAGACTGCTCAAGTCTTCCAGGTCCACTTTGGATCCTTCTGGGGTCCTGATATATTTACATATATCACATCTTTATTGTCCTGTCAGGTAGTAAATAGCATACGAGCAATCTATGGACATAAACTCAATGTAATGTTGCCTTTTCTCAAGGTATAATATTTTAATTTTTTATTATATATATGTGTGTGTACACATATCATATATATGGAGAGAGAGAGAGAGGCTGTTCATTTGCTTGTGAACCATGTGTGTTCATTGTCTGCAGATCCAGAGGAAGACATTGGCTCCTCTGGAATTGGAACTACAGACGATTTTGAGGTGCAAGGTGGGTGCTGGTACCCAAACCCAGGTCTTCTGTTAGAGTAGTAAGTACTGTTTACTACTGATCCATGTGTACAGCCCCTACGTATTAATATTAAATCAATAATTTATTTTAAAAGAAATATATAAAATTTATGTATATCATCCTACTATTGAGTCATTACTGAACTCACTATAGAAATTTTTAAGTAAAAATGGTTTTGTTTGCTGTAATGTTACATCGTTGTCTTCTGGTATTTACATTTTGTACCTAAATGATATGAGTCTACAGAATCTGTTATGAATTAACATGAAATTTAAAGAAATATATAGGAAAGTAGTATAGAAGACAGACCAAAATAAAAAATGGCAAGATGAAAAGATTATTTTTAAATTCAGTTAAGGTACATTTTAAGATGGGAATTGTTATCATCTGTCCTGTGCTCTGATGGTTACTATCTTCCTTGGATCTAGATACTCTGCATTCTGATGTATTCCTTCATATGCCTGGAAAATCTGTATTGCCTTTGCATATAATGACACTCATCCTAAGAGTCTCACCACGAGAGACTCTGGCACAGGGCAGTTGTGAAATTTAAATCAGGTATTTGTAAAGTGCTGAAAAGCAATGACATCTAACAAGTCCAAGTTTATGTTTCACTGTGTTGACACTACTGTCTATTTCTAACTCAAAACAGGAACATTTTGAATCTTGAGACACTTATTAAAGAGACAATTTATTACACATTAATGGAAAATACTGGCTCCTGGGGGCATAGTATTTAACATGCCATGAAGAATGTAGACCTGCATGTTTATCAAGGGTTCGCACGATCTGATACTGAGTGACATTCTCAGCAAGATGACAAAATGGACTCCACAGCCTTGGCCATAGGATTCATCTCCCTGTCTCAGACTGCACTTGGAATCTTGGGAAACTTGGCCCTGCTTTGGCACTTTATCCTTAGTGAGTTCACTGGGATCAAGGGGAGGCCCACAGACCTGATTGTCAAACACCTGCCCTGGGCCAATTTCATGGTTCTTCTCTGTAAAGAAATCCCTCATACAGTATCTGCCTTTGGTCAGGCATATTTTCTAGATGGCATTGTGTATAAACTTGTCTTTTATTTTCACAGAGTTGCCAGAGGAGTATCTCTTGGTTCCACAGCTCTGTTGAGCATCTTTCAGGCCATCATGATCAGCCCAAGGAGTCCCAAGTGGGCACAACTCAAGGCCCCACGGTCATTGGTTTCTCCCTGGGCCTATGCTGGGCCCTGCAGCTGATTTTGAATGCCTTTGTTCCCACAAATTTGACTGCCATCGGGGTGGGGGCGGTAAAAGAAATCTTTCTGGGTTTAGAAATCTTGTGTACGGTGGTATGGTAGAATCTCACAGTGTAAGATACACATTATGCAGTCCTGTTGGCTTCCACTGATGGGGTGTGTTTGGGACTCATGGTATGGGCAAGTGTCTCTATGGTCTTTATCCTCCTTAAGAACAAAAAGAGGGTCCAGCATATTCACAGATCCCACCCTGCCAGTTCATCTCCTGAGACCAGAGCCACACAAAGCATCCTCGCCCTAGTGAGCAGCTTTGTGCTCTTTTATATAGCCCCTGTCTTCTTAACACTGTGTTTTGGCCATCCTTAAGAAAACTGCTAGGTGGTTGTTCAACACCAATGTAGCCTTGGGTACCTGCTTCTCAGCATTCTGCCCCTTTCTGCTTATCAGACATTACACGAACACTTCCAGGCTCTACTGTTACTGTTCACATCAGAGCAGGCTATCCTAGTGCAGTCAGATAGAAGTAAAACTCAAGCCCTGTGCCTTCTTTCCACTCATTTTTTCTGTTCAATTTTATTATGCTATGTCAATAGGAACCCCTGTCTTTAAGCTCACATCTAGAAAGGACCCATTCTGTGAAACCATTTACAATATAGTTCGGTATTCAGTAAATGCCTAATTATGGTACAAATATTAATATAAATTTTATTAGTTGCTTCCAGGGAGAATATTGAATTACCAGAGATATTTAAACACTGAAATTTAATGGAGTTTTAGCAATTCTATGAAATATGAAGGAGATCTTTTTTGATCAAAGAACTCTTGTGAAGACAAATGATAATCACTGAAGGTCTGTCATTAGATCATTTTCAAAATAAGATAATTGAGGGTCAAGTCCTTCCTTCCATGATGAACAAGAGAAGAGGACACTCAAGTGGCCAAGTGGCCTGGAAGCCTTCTTAAGATGTGTAAGTGCTGGGCTGTGCAGGGAATTTAGAGTCAGAATTACAGATTGTGTTTCTTAACTCTGAACAGTAAAGGACTACAGTGGCAAGAGAGAATGTGGTGTGGGGCAATACAAAATTTATATATCACGTTTTGATCAACTTTTAGGAGCAGGTGATATTTAAAAATTTAAACAAAATATTTAGTAAAATATTTTAGAAAAAATATTCAGGAAAAATAGTTTTAAACAAGGATGAGTGTGTAATGTTGGAAGCGAAATGAACTTGCATTTTCTTTGGATGGTGAATCTGTGTCGTATCAGCCATGATGAGAATTAAGATATGTAGGAAAAGATCAAGTCTAAATGGACTAGTGTGTTTCTGCCTCAAAGGAACTGAACTTACTTGGCTACTTTGAGAATGACAGAATTTATATTACTTATGGAACCACTTCTGTGGGAGAGTTCATGACCTCAGTTTTATCACTTGTTAGCTGTGATACCTATAAACTATTTTATCCAGAAGCATAGCAGAATTATAGTGAGAAACGAGTGAATATATTTACCAGGAGACATTGTAAGGAGAACTCCTTAGTCACTTGATGTATAAATGTGAACAAAACAAGGAGCATATCTAATCTGATTCCAGACTGAATATGAAATGCACCCACAGGTGCACCCAGAGAATGCTTGTTCCCCAACTTAAGGGGGTGCTTTGGGAGGTTCTAGAATATTTAGGGGGAGCATTCTAGCTGGAAGAAGCAGGAAGCCGGGGTTTCTTCAGGTTAAACCTAGTCCCTAGTCCCTTCCTCTCACTACTTTTTGTCTGTCATGAAGTGAAGAAAACCCTCCACCACAGAGTCCAGCTGCCATCATGTTCTGTCAATGCACAGAGAGTCAAGCCCCTGAACCCTCTGAAAACAGGAGCCAAAACACATCTTCCTTCAAGTTGTTCTCTCAGGTCATTTGATGACAGTTAATGGAAAATAACCAGGTTAGAATAATGCAGTTGGACTCCCCAAATGTGTGGTCTAGACATTTTAAAAGATATTGGACATACTTAAGGAAATTAGTTATGTAGTATGTTAAACTACTAATTCCCATTTATTCTTGGACAGAGGCAAAGTTCATCATATTAGAAAACCTACATATAGTAATGTAAAAATGTAAAACATTATTTAAAGAGTTACCATAACATATGTAACTGATACTTCAAGATAGAGTAGTACCTCATATTCACTTATTATATCTAATTTGTAACATGTATTTTATTTTACTCTCTCTCTCTCTCTCTCTCTCTCTCTCTGTGTGTGTGTGTGTGTGTGTGTGTGTGTGTGTGTGTGTGTGTATGCACATATGCATGCACATTTGTATGTCAGAGGACAATTTTCAGGTCTTGGTTTTTTTGTTTGACCATGTGAGTTCCAAGGATAGAACTCTGTTCATGAGCCTGAGCAACTATCACTATTTCCAAGTGAGCTATCACACCAACACTTATTATATCTAAAATATAGAAAGATGTTATTGGCTATGAATAAACCTACTAGGATAGAATGAAACTTCAAAAAAATTGAAAATTTTTATTGAATTTGTGCAAATTTCATTTAATATGTTTTGATCTTATTTAGATTTCCTTCCATATCTACATCCCCTTACCACCCTGTGCTTCATGCACTCCATTACATATAAATTATATTCATATTTATATAGTTATATAATCCATATATATATATATGTCTTTTTGAGACAGGGTCTCCTTGCAGCCCCAGCTGTCCTGGAACTCACTCTGTAGACCAGGCTGGCCTTGAACTCACAGAGATCCACCTGCCTCTGCCTCCTGAGTGCTGGGACTAAAGGCGTGCACTACCACACCCAGCATATTATATATAATTTAAGAGTTTTGTAATCAAACTTGTATCCTCAAGTGTCCATTCACTAGGGCCTAGTTAACCCCAGTGCTACAGGCAATCAATGGATGCTAAGAGAGAGAGAATCAGTTTTCTCCAAGGACTAGCCCCTAGAGAGGTTATTTAATCCCAAGCAGTTAGCCCTAAACACAGGCACACATGAGCACCACTAAATGGACTCAGTGCATTATATATGTATACTTATAAATATATGCATATGTAGCAATAATAACAAAGAATAAGAAATTCAGTGGGAGTCCCTTAAGGAGTTGGTGGGGAGCTGGGAGGGATAGAAATATGCAAAGACAGTTTGAACCTGGGTTCTCCGCAAGAGCAACCGGTGTTCTTAACTGCTGAACCATCGCTCCATCCCACATTCCCCCTTTTTAAAAAAATTTATTTATTATTTTTATTTTATGTGTATGAGAGTATTGCCTGCATGTTTGTGAGTGCACCCGTGTCGTGCAATGACGCGGAGGTCAGAAGAGGGCATTTGATTCCCCTGGATCTGGAGTTAAGGATGGTTTGTAGCCACCATGTGCATGCTGGAAATTGAACCCAGGTCCTCTGCAAGAGCAGTCAGTGCTCTTAACTGCTGAGCCATCTCTCCAGCCCACATTCCCCTTTTCAAGAATGTACACACTGGCTGTTTCTTGCTGCTCTTTTCCTGCTCCCTGAGAGGCAGCCCAGAGGTCTATTTGCTCCTAATACTAAAGACCTTTGAAAATGTCATATGAAAAACTACCATGGGAGATGCTTCTTAAAACATAAATGTATATGTGTATGAATGGAGTGTAAATGGAGTTACCCTACAGTGGTGGGGAAATGCCTCTTTCAGATACCATAGACTGTTAAATAAAAATGCCAGTGCATGTTAAGCATGCCTCTTTTAGTTATTGGTCAGAGAGGTCCTGTAACCCATCCCCATCATTACAGCCATTGCCATTCGTCTTCTGAACCTTCCAAATCTTGATGGTAAAACTCTATTGCTGAAGACAACACATATTTGAGTCATAGGAAAAGGAGAAATCAAGCTGGTACCAACATGGAAAAGTCATTCATACTGGTTAGCTTTCATAGTGCTGGGAGGCTGTAATTAAAAAAAAATCTTACCCAGTTGAAGCCTGCACGCTACCATAATGACCTCCATGGCAAGTGACACCTATTAGTGCAGCATTAGTCTGAATGTTAAGGAAATAAATGATCACATTCTGATTGGATTCGAAATAGTATCAAATTCCTCCCTGGTACATTTAAATCAGACAAGTACCCATTGCTGGCTAGGCCATAGGCCCTAAGTGAGAACCTCATACTATTATTTTGCTAAGTGGGTGTAGTATTAAACTTCCCATTAAGTTCTATCTTTATATCCATAGACTAGCTCATCTCTCAACCCTCATCAGCAAGGCTTTTTGAACTAGGTGGTGATTAATATAGAGACCTACAACTGGTTGACATATGGAGACTATGAGACTGTGTAGTACTCAGCTCCAAATGGGGCATCTGCATCACAATCCCTGTTCCCAAAGCTCAGTAGTTATCACTGAAGAGCCACTGTAAAAGCTAGAGGTAGTGAAAAGCTGCAGTAAAGTGGTATTTTCCAGACATGACACGACCACACATGAACTCACAGCAGCTGTGACTGCAGGCATATGACCTATACAAGACCAAACCAATCAAAATCCCAGTATGCATGCAGGAGGGTTCATGAATTCCCATGCCTAGTTGAGGAGTGTATTGTTGACTACTGAGGGAGGGAAAGTCAGTTTTCTTCAGGGATGTAGCCACTGGGAAACTACCCATGCTTTAGTAGATGGCCACACACACACATACACTCAGGCAGCACTAACAGGACTCTGAGGGTTTAAAAAAAAACATGAATCTGTAAGGGGAAAGTGTTTGGAGGGATAGGGGAGGAATAGGGGAGGGGGGATAGGGGATTGGAGGAGAGGAAATATGGGATTGATTTCACACATTTAATGCACATATGAAATCCTCAAACAAACAAAAATAGGCATGGATGGGAGACAGTCATTTGACCATAGTCCTCACAGCTGAATTATTGGCAGCTGATAGATTATGGGGAAGGATAGTTATTGTGTTCAGTTTTCTTCCCACTAGTGAGTCTTCCAGGCTCCAGTGGATAGCTCAAAACCCAGATGGCCCTGGTTAAGCTCTGGTCACAAACCAAAGCACAAGGACATGAAAGCAGAATAGGGATTCGTAAGAAGAACTGGGATTGATGGAGGAGGATGAAGAAAAGAGAGGGTGGGGAGTGAGAGTAATAAGAATGTGTACTGTTCATGGGTGAAATTATCACAGAGCAAACTAAATACAAAGAAAGCAGGCAGGGGAGAGAGTTTTATAATAACAAAAGGAAAGGTGTTAGTGCACCTGACTGATGGCTGTTGAGATGGGATTGTAGTAGTCTTGTGAATTAAAAAAAAGATGAGGTTTGTACAGACAAAGTTAACTTTGTCTTTGTGGTCCTAAATTGGAACAGCAATTTTGTCTCTAAGTTTTAAGAACACTTTCAGAATGTATCATGGATTAATCAAGCCCTTGCCACATTTATCTGATTGCTACAGGTTGTGTTTGGCTTGCTGGACTGAAAATTTGGGTCAGGATTCTGTGTTGGCATGTTCTGGTCATTGCCAGTTTTACAGAGTGGTCAAATATCTAGTCAGACCTTCCCTTTGAACCTTCGTTCTTCCTCAGTATCCAAACCCTCTGGATTCCTTCTGTGCTCCTGACAACAGAGGTGAGTGGAGTTCCTCCCAGACCTCAAGTTTGTCCTTGTATTAGAACAAACCCAGTTAAAAGTTTCCTGAAGTTCCTGATGGGAAGCATTGTTTTTCAGGGACGACATCAACACCCTCAGCAGACACTGCCATCTCTGTGCTGCCTTCTGTGACATAATCATCTTGACCACAGGGAGATGAGGTCTCAGCATATCTACAAATCACCTTGAATTGTTTACTCGCTTGTACACGTAGGCAGGCTGCCTGCCCCTCTGATCACTGAGCCCCCATTCAGCAGCTAACATCATAGACACATCATTCTTTTGTGGTATGTTCCTTATTTAAAAAAATATTTTTATTGATTCAAAAATTTCCTACAATATATTTGGAGCATATTTAGATCCCCCCTTCATTCATACCTTGCAAATACTCCCTACTTCATGTCTTTGATTATTATTTGTCTCTTTCTTAAAGACCTAACAAGTCTAGCCTGTGTTTCCTAAATGCTCTTGACTTTTGGTCTGTCCTTTGGAGTCTGATCAACCTGCCAGGTTTCACATCAGTAAGGAAAATTGACTTTCCTCTCTCAGCACACTTGATACTTTTATCAGAGCCAATTACCTGTGGCCAGACAGTATGAGATAGCATACTACTATCATTATACTAAATAATACTAATTTATTAAACTGATTTCTAATGACTTGTTGTTATTCATACCCACAGATTAGTGATCTCTCAGCTCTCGCCAGAGAGGCTCCTTCTTGCAGCAGAGGTGATTAACAGAAACCCACAGCTGGCCAATATGCAGAGAATAAGAGACTGCAGAGAAATCAGCCCTAAATGGGACATCTATATTGCTCCCTCTCATCCCAAAACTCAGGGCTCGATGGAGAAGACAGAGTACAAAGACTGGAAGAGCCAGAGGTGGTGGATAAATTCAAGGAAACTGCTGTCTGGATACAACAGTGGAGTTGCATATGTGAGTGCACCCAGAGCACTTATGACAGCATGTATAAGACCTGTGCAAACTCAAGCCAGACAGAGGCCCAGCAGAGGTGAGCAGGAAGCCCCAGCCCTAGCTGAGTTGCTTCATTTCTCCCTTCTAGCCTGTACATGATAGGGTAGCATCATGGAAACTATGTCATTGCAGGTCTCTTATAATTGATCTCATTCTTTCCGGAAAAGGATCCTGCAAATTCTGAATGCACGCAGATCTCTCCCAAGGCCTAAGTACACTACTGTTGGAGGAAGCCCACGGATGAGAAACTTCCTGTGTCTTGTTCTCCACTCCTTGAAGATAGTTGCTGGGGGGCGGGGGGGGTTGCTGTGGGTTCTCTACTAGCAAGAGGGAAGTGTGTTCTTTCTGTCTAAAATGCTTTGTGACTGTGTTTAGTACTCACCTCCTCTTATTTTTTCCTTTGAAGAAATCCCAGGCACTTTTCAGGGAACTGTATTATCTCTGCCAGCCTTCAATGAACTATGAGAACAGTTTCTCCACATTTGAGGGAGTCTTGCGTAACGAATGCACACTGCCTATTTAACTCTGGATTGCAGGATGTGATGGCTTTTTCTCTATTGGACACTAGGACCCCATGTCCAATAGAGAAAAGGGTAAAGGGTATTTTTGCCTTTTAGATGGCATGAGGAGTAATGAGAATTTAGTGTCAAATTTATGTGCATAAATGTAAACAAATCAGAAAAATGTACATTCTAATCTCAAATGGTTATAGTGGGATTTCTCTGACATTGATTTTTTTCAATCACTTAGCCACAGCTGAATATTCACATCTGTGCTGTTTCAGGTTATAACTGGAAGATATACCCCCTCTACTTTAGGTTGTCCTTGAATCCATGTGCAGAGATGCATTACATATTTGTATTCTATATAGTAGAAAATATTATATGCCTGTATGTACATGAAATTGCATTTCCCACATAATTAGATAACTACAATATGTTAGTGACAATTTCTAGGTATCGAAGTGATACCTTAATTTAGAAAAATATGTAAAAGTTTTCATGATTGTCATCTTAATGCGGAACTAAATTTGCACTTATTAATTTCAATTCATAGGATAAACATTTTATTACATAATATGGTTGTCTTCTGATATTTGCATTTTATACCTATATGATGTGTCCTATAGTTTAAGAACTGACAGACTATTCTAAAAATATAGAGATAGGCTTTGTTAAATAGAACTATGAAGAGAAACATAAAAATTTACAGAAAGATAAGGTGTATTTTAAGAAAGGAGCAAACAATTCTATTTCTTTTTTTCTTTTCTTTTTGTATTTTTGAGACAGGGTCTCTCTGTAGCCCCAGCTGGCCAGAAACTCACTGTATAGACCAGGCTAGCCTCAAACTCAGAGAAATCTCCCTGCCTCTGCTTCCCAAGTGCTGGGACTAAAGGCGCGTGCCACCAGGCCTGGCAACAATTCTATTTTGTACAACCTGATGGTTATTGTTTTCTTTCCATCCATGTGGTCTTGGTTCTCCTAAGTCTGCCCTTTTCCAGTGGTGGGAACTGCAGGATCTGTAGCACTGTTTGAATCATATTAACAGTCTCATCACTGTAATCTCAAATACAGGGATGTTGTGAAATTTACATCAGGTATCATTTGTAAATCCTGGGCAGAGTGCTGATACCTATCAAGTGCAATGTAAAATGCATATATTACCACAATGACAGGACTTAGATCTGTGTAAAAGAACAAACCAGGAATACTTTGAAGCTTAGACTATGTCATTACTTAACAATGGAAAGCAGCAATTATTGGTGAGCAGAAGATTTATGTTCAATGAAGAAGGTAGGCCTGCGTGTCTACTAAGGGTTCTCTGGACCTGATACTGAGTGACATTCCCAGGAAGATGACAGAATGGACTCCAGAGCTTTGGCCATGGGAATCCTCTTCCTGTCCCAGACTGCACTGGGCATCCTGGGGAAACTCCGCCTTGCTTTACTACTTCATCCTTGGTGACTTCACTGGGATCAGGGAGATGCCCACAGACATGATTGCTAAACACCTGACCTGGGCCAATTCCATGGTTCTTCTCTTTAAAAGAATTCCTCAGACAATCGCTGAATTTAGTCAGACATATTTTCTAGATGACATTGCATGTAAACTTGTCTTTTATTGCCATAGAGTTGCTAGAAGAGTATCTCTTAGTTCTACAACTCTGTTGAGTATCACTCAGGCAATCACAATCAGCCCCAGTAATTCAAAATGGGCAAACCTCAAGATCAGAGCCATCAAATGTTCATTGATCCTTCCCTGGGCCTGTGCTGGGTCCTTCACTTAATGGTAAGTAGCTTCATTCTCATGACAGTGACTGACATGTAGGAAGAAAGAAATCTTACTGGATTTGGAGATTTGGTGTACTGTTTTGTAGTAGAAGCCTGCAATCTAACCTGTACATTAAATATAATCCTGTTGGCCTCCACTGATGTCATGGGTTTGGGGCTCATGCTGTGGGCCAGTATTTCCATGGTGTTTGTCTTGATCAAACACAAGCAGAGGGTCCAACACATCCATAGATGCCTGTCTCTTAAATCATCCCCTGAGACCAGAGCCATACAAAGCATCCTTAGCCTAGTGATCAGCTTTGTGGTCTTTTATACAGTGTCTACCATCTTGGTAATGTTCTTGTCTGTTCTTGAGGGATCCAATAGGTGTTTGGCCAATGCCAGTATAGTGGTGGCTGCCGGCTTCCCAGCACTCTGCCCCTTTATACTCATCAGACACTACACCAGTGTTTCCAGGTTGTGCTGTACTTATGTATATCACCAATGGATTGTCCTTCTAGAGTCGAGAGCTCTAAATGATACATAGTCTACACTCCTTATTGTTTTATTTAATACTGTTACATTCTCATATCCTCATTATTATTGCCTTACATTATACTCACATTATAGACCCACTCTGTCCCCTATTATCATTTGGAATATAGTCTTGAATACAGCCACTACCCAAAGAAGGATACAAATGCTTATAAAATTGCTGTCAATTGTTTCCATTTAGAAGATCAAAGCACTAGGTAAATTCAAACTTTGGGGATATATAGATTATACAGATTCTGATAGGGGTTATATGGGTCTTGTTTTCACACATTCACCTTTTATGTGAGTAAAATTCATCATCATGATCTGCATGATGATAACCAATGTGAGCAAAGAATTGAGTGTCAATTGGATTAAAGGCACGCACCACCATGCCCAGCCCAAAGGCAAAGGGTAGACAAGAAATACAAGTCAAAGTAGTGTGGGGTGGGATACCCTTATGGTCTGACCGTGTTGAGCAGTGCACAGAGTTTGAGGTGTCATTAGAGCTTCCTTAAAGATTAAAGGACAATGGACAACTTTGGAAGGACACGATATGAGGGTACAGGACCATTATTTTTCTGTATTTAGATTAACTTTCAGATATGAAATAGAAATTAAGGGAAGAAATAATTAATATATGGCTTCTATATAAATATCTAAGCTTTGTGCTGGATAGCTTTAATGTCAACTTGACACACCTGAGTTGAGGGAGCCTCAATTGGGGAATTTCCTGTATTGGACTGGCCTATGGCCATGTCTGAGGGGCATCTTCTTGATGAGTGATGTGGGAAGGCCCAGCCCACTGTGGGTGGTGCCACCCCTGGGCAGGTGGGCCTGTGTTGTATAAAAAAGCAGGCTGAGCAGGGGCCAGGGGAGTAAGCCAGTAAGCAGCA